CTAATAACACTTTCTAAAACATTCACCACCTCCCTCCGCCACTCCCTCGGCCGCCGCCGCCGCCACTAACAGAAAATGGGTTGCCTTGGTAATTTCAAGAACCTCACATTTACGATTATGGTTGTGCTTCTTGTTTTATGGTTTTCCGACATGGAAACATGCAATGCAAGAAAAACAGGAGGCAGACATTACAGACAAAGTAGCAGAAGCGTGGGGGTTTCCCTGTCCAAGAATACAGGGAGAAATCACCACCACAGCAACGGCGGCGGCAAGTCAAAACAGAAAGCTCCATCTCCAAAATCGCCGCCGCCCCCCGCCGCCGGACCTGTAGAAACTCCGCCGCCGACGAATATTCCGCCGCCTGACAAAAGCGAAGAGAATGCACCTGATCCCACTGTCTTTGATGTCCTCGATTTTGGTGCCCGAGGTGATGGAACCACAGATGACACTCAGGTAAATTTAAATTTAAATTTAAATAATAAATTATATAAATATAAATTATTATTAATTATCTTTAATTGTTTTCAAAGAATTAAATTATTCCATGAAAATTCTAAATTAGTTTTATAAGCATTTATTGCTAATTCCTTTTTGTTAGAACTTGTGACCTCTCCTTTCTTTTTATTACAACTTAAAAAAGTTTATATGGACACCTAAATTAAAGTAGCAGAAGTGCAACTTTAAATTAATTTCGAATTTCGTAATATAGCGAATGTGTCGTCGTAACATTGTTTCGTGGTCACATGAACCAACTACAAACGGGAAAAAAGTTCGATCAATATATCCATAAGTTTACGATTTTATGAATAAAGTTAGGTACTTGTGACGCATTTTCCATCTGTACATTCATTGCTTTAAATTCAAGAGAAATTATTTGTAACAAAATTTCAAATTGTTGCGATTTCTTTTTTAACAGGCATTCCGAGCTGCGTGGGCAGCTGCGTGCAAAATCGAAGCCTCGATCGTCAATGTACCGGCAGAATACGTATTCCTTGTCGGACCCATTTCGTTTTCTGGTCCTTACTGTCAATACAACATTGTTTTCCAGGTAAAAATATTTATTAATTATTACACGTGACAGGAAAATTAGTTCGAATCTCGCCTCGTCAGCATTGTATTCCTTACGTATTTTTTTTTTAATCTTTTTCCAGTTAGATGGTACAATTGTTGCCCCGACAAGCCCGAGCCAATGGGGCTCGGGGATTCTGCAATGGCTCGAATTCACAAAGCTAGTTGGCCTTACAATTAAGGGAAGTGGCACAATTGACGGAAACGGAGCCGCTTGGTGGCAAAGTTCGAATGACGATAACGACCCTCTCGATGACCAATCGAAACTCATTGTTCCGTTAAATGACACAACAGAACAAAACCCTCGAATTCACGTAATATAAAATTTGAACCTCCACATTTAATTAGCTTCATCATTTGTCTTTATATTTGTTCTAACTAAATAAAATACAATTATATGTCCTAATTTGCAGGAAGACAGCTGGCTTGGTTCGAAATTGCCAAGCATAAAACCAACTGTAAGGATCACAAACTTATTTCCTCTCTATTTTTTTTTTGAAATGTTTGTTTAGTTAATTAATTAAAAAGAACACACAAAAAACAGGCGCTTCGA